GTGTGGAGTCTGATGTGATAAACCAGATTTTGCCTCTTGGTGAAAGATTTATCACACAATCCACATGGGAATGGCTTCACTCCAAGGTGAGTTTTGATGTGTGCGCTTAAGCTACATCTGTTGATGTAGCTTTTACCACAGGTCTTGCATGAGAACGGTCTCTCACCTGTATGGGTTCTCATGTGCCGAACCAAACCACTGCTATAGCTGAACGGCTTACTGCACACTTTGCAGGTATGTTGATTCTCATTAGTGTGGTTTCTCATGTGAATTTTCAAGGCAGTTTTCCTGATGAAACGTTTTCCACATATTTTACAAGAACACATATTTTTCTGGAGCTTTTTCAGTTTTGAACGGTCAACAATGTTGCTCTGATTGATTGTCAGCTCTTCATCTCCATCTAGTGCATTATTGCATCTGTGCTGGTGTTGGTTTTCAGCTCTATATGAGTTTGAAGGGTGGATCTGGTCTTGGTTTGGGTCTGATTCACTGTGGTATTTTTCCTCATGTATAGGAGTTTCTCTGGAGGAATCCTGCTTCACTAAAAGTTGACCTTCACTCTGATGACTGTAGAGTTCCTCCTCCTCTTGTTTAATCTGAACAGGTTCTTGTTCCTCTTTAATGTGTGGAGGTTCTGGTTCCTCCTTTGTCTCCATCATCTGTTCATTTTTATTTTGGAATATTTCATCCCAACCAGCAGCCACCATGAAGGTGTCAGCTTCCTGCTTCACTACAGATTTCTCTTCATGAGAGATGTTGAGCTCAACTTGTTCTTCTTTGATCGGTTGATATTCTGGTTCCTCCTTAATCTCTGTAATCTGCAGTGGATCTGGTGCCTCTTTCATCTCTAGATCATTTGGTAAGTTGTGATCGGGAATGGAGTTGCTTTCTGGTTGAATGAGGAACTGATCACCAGCAACCACCCAGATGTTAACAGACATGATGCTGTTTGGGACCTGAAAGTAGAACAAAACAAATCAAATGTAATCATTTTGACAAAATGTATTTTTATGCATCGTTTACCTTATAAAAAAAACAAACAAAAAAACAAAACAAAAAAAAAATCAAAACAGATTTCAAGTGTTAGTAGGTTTCAGTGCATAATAATATGCCACCCTTCAGACCTGGGGGGGGCATGCTGGGCGTCCATTTCATCAAACGATCTGGTTGGGATGTATTTTCTTTCATCCACTGAACTGAAAACATCACTACTAAAACTCACCTCTCTACGTCCTGAAGCTGGACAGTCGTCTTTGGTGCTCGGCCTCTGACAGACAGACATGCACGAACGGTTCCTTCCTATTTTGTTAATTGAAGAAAGCATTTTGAAACATTCAAAGTGTAACCTGGTGAACTTTTAAAGAGTAATTTTAAAAGTTCAATATATATAATTTATAGATGTGTTATTCTTATTGCTAGTATTAATAGATATATATTTATATATTTGTTGTTGCTTTTTTTGTTTTGTTCTTGGTTTGTATACTTGTGTTCTGTTTTTCTTTTTACTTTATTTTATTGATCTACATACTCAATGTCGTTCATATTACCATTTCTGCTCACACTCTCACACACACACACACACACACACACACACACACACACACAGTTAATGATACTCATTCTCTGCAACACCATACCTCTATTTTCTTTTTTGTTAGCTCCGTGATTTTCTTTTCTTTTCATTATGTAATGCATCACACCATATGTTTTTGTTATTAATTTGATATTAAATTTTAAAAAAAGAGGAATTTTATGTGCATAAAAAATGTTTTTGAAGAGATATTTAATCTGCTGCAAAAATTCTATAAAACAATTAAGATTGCTAGAAGTAGTTTCTGGAGTAAAACTTAAATGGGACAATTAAATCAGTATAAAAAATATGTTTACAAATCGGAGGAGTCTATTATTTTTGTTAATAGATATTCCTTTGTGTTTACAGCAATGAAAACATATCCACTCTTTTAGACCGCCTCCACATAATCCTACATTGGAGTCATGAAACGCTGAAGAGCTAGTAGACTTCCTAACTTGTATGATACATTATTAGAGATTTTTTGGTATCATTTTGTTATTACTTTAGTTCATATTCAGTCTAATGTTAATTAATAGTTAATCAACATTCAGTCTATAGATCATTGTGATTTTCAGTTTAAAGTGTTCTCTTCCTTCTGTGTGTATAAACTGTCCTGGAGGCCCATCTGCCTGTTCGTCTTCATGTGAAACAGTTATCTGTGTTTCCCAGACCTTGAATTATGTTTCCACAGGTGCCTCCTTATCAACCAAATACTCCCTACCTTAGAAACTGCCTGTGTGCAGTAGTATTTTGTCTCTGCCGTCTTCCTTACCTATCCTCCCTCTTTTTGCTTGATAATAAAAGACAAGCTGTAACCAAAGGTATTCAGACGCTCAGTGAACGGCTTGGAGGAGCAGTTTACTGAGACTTCTCCTTTTCCAAAAGCTTGGTCAGAAAACTCATATACGATGTCTGTGGTTCTTTTATGTAGGTTTGAGGAAAATACCTATTATACATAATTTTGTTTAATGAGCCGTAAATCGCTGTGTGATTTGGATTAAAATCACAACACCTCCGCTCTGTTTGACGGTTAACTCCCCTTTGTTTCCCCTCCTAATATGGCGGACACACACGTTTCAGAAGCTAGGAGTCAAAGCTGCAGCTAGCAAGTATTTGTCTAATTTTGTGAAAAGACGGTTCTCTTACCAGCTAGGCCTGTTTTATTCTTTAGAAGAAGAGCCAGTAGTCACACAGCGTCCAACATATGTCCAATAATCTCCTTTGTGAAACTTTTTTGTTCGTTTCTCCAGCACGAAACTGGCTGCTTCTTGTCATGGGCGTTAGCTTCTCATAAAGCTAGCAGGCTAACTGATCTCGCTTTGGGTGTTAGCTGCTAAAACAGACAAAAACCGCTATTAAAGCGAAACTGTCAATATTTCCAGAGCTCACGACGAGCCAAGATGTGAAGAACGCTTTAAAAGAACAGCAGGACGAAACCAGTTCTTCTTCTTCTGGAATATTCTTCTTCTTCTCTTGTCTTGACGGTTACCAGTAAACTGAAGCTGTGCATCACCGGCACCTACTGGTTTGGAGTACGGCTCAAAATGGGTTTTTTTGTTTTAAACCTTCATTATCGATTGTCATATTTTTAATGAATTTTGTTTTCCTAAACAACCTAATTAAACTTGGAATAATTTAACTTTCTGAATCTCTTTGTAGTACATTTATTTAATTAAATGTTTCTCTATTTTTTTCTCTATATTCCTCCAACTTTTTATCTTAACGTACTAAAATATGTTCTTCTGTTTCAAGCAACAAAATGTAAACTGGATCCTGTGGATAAGGTTCAATTATTTAAAAAAAATGTAAACAATACAGACATAAATTATACAGAAAATCAAAAAGTAAAGGAAAAATATAAATTATATAACTGTGGCTCTGCTCCAATTGCCCAACTACACCCAAAATCTCATTCAAATGTCTAATAACTTACAAATAATACTTATGGTGATTAAAGTTGATCCCAGTAAATGTTAATCACCATAAGAACGATGATCTTAAATTACAGTCCAAGTTTAAATTGTCCACTTGGCTCTTACTGTCAATTTTTAGAGTACTTCTCAGATCTCTTATCTAATTTAGTGTTAAAAGTGAAAGGTCATTACACAGGAGATTTTAACATGGTGACACTGAAAGTGATGGCCAAGATGTAGCCATTAATGCTATCTTGTACTCAGTTGGCGTGGCTAAAATTATCCAGACCTACCCACTCTCGTTTTCATGCCCTGAACCCACAAAGCTTTAAAAAATAGTAGTTCCTCACAATCCAGTCCTAATTATTATTCCTTTAACATTTCAGTTAAATTTACAGTATAGAGTACAGAGTAGATAGTAATCAGTCAATGCTTGAACAACTTTTAGAGAATAATTTCCGGTTTTAATTTCCTCTGTATCTCAAAAAACAAAACAGATGCCAGCAATTTAATCTCTATTCTTTCACAAATGTATTTTTAATTTTATTCCATTAACTGCCCTGAATGAAGAACATACTTGAACCAAAAATGTAGTTGATTTAAGACTTTTTCGTTCACAAGCATTGTAGTTCTAATGTAATTTTCTTCCCGTTAAGCCATTTTCAGGTCAACTCACCATTTTTTTCTCCCTTTAGTTAGATTAATACAAAGCAGTAGACCTAAAATAAAACTTCAAGTATATGCAGGTATATCTTTCTGTGTTTTCATGTTAGAACCTTTACGTAACCAGGAAGAAAAAAAACCTGTGAGATTAAAATCTAATTTACCAGAATGTCCTGAGCTGTACAGCAGCAAAGAAAGATAAAAATCAGAAAATGTAAATTTTCTTAGAATAAGAGGATCAACAGCCTGAAACACTTAATATCAAAATGATCATTTCCTTTTAGCGTAATTTCCTTAAAAATTTAAGTGTTAAGGACATCCACTTGTTTAACATATTTAAGGCAATGCAATATCTATATTCAGAATTTATACTGAGCAACAACTTGATATTTGCTGATTTTGAATATGCAAGGCAAACAAAGAGTCTCAAAACTGAACCTTGAGGGACTCCATAAATTAAGACGTTTTATTTTTGACCTGAATGAGTCAATATTCGTGGGCATGAACAGCAAATGATCATTTTATTGCAATTTATTACCATGAAAATCTAAAAGTGCAACAAAAACTGAATTGCCCTGATTTAAACACATTTTTAAATGTTTAAGTATGTAAACCATACTTTACCTAGCTATGGGTCACATTCCCACTGTGGGTCAAATAAATGATGTTTTGCAAACTTCCTAAGGTTTATTTTCACATACATGTGCAGTCAGTTTATATCTGACAGTGAATAATTTACCACACAGTTCACAGAAATACGACTTTTCACCTGTATGAGTCCGGATGTGCATAGTCAAACTGTACGGTTTGGAGAACTTCTCTCCACAGGTGACGCATGAGAAGACCTGCTCACCTGTAGGGCTCCTCAGGTGATCGTCCAGCTGAACGCTGGCGGTAAAAGACGCATCACAAACATTAAAGGAAACTGATTCTCAGGCTTCTTGTTCGTGTGATTTGCCATGTGCTTTACCATAGCGTTCCTGCCACTAAATAATTTACCACATGCTTGACACTAAAAATGTTTCTCTTCTGTGTGAGACCACTTGTGGCGCTCCAAGTCCTTTCTGTTTAGGAATGATTTAGCACACAGGTCACAGCTTGTCACTCAGGTGAACTCTGCTGTGTGACGCAAGGCTGCGTAAGTGAGGAAAGCATTTTCCGCATGTGGGACACGGAAACGGCTTCTCGTCTATGTGACGTGTGGCGTGACGAGCCAGAGATCGACTGTGTCTGAAGGATTTGTCACAGGATTCACACGAGAACAGCTTCTCCTCTGTGTGGACTCTGAGGTGGCAAGTCAGATACTGCATCCTGACAAAAGATTTATCACACACACTACAAGTGAAAGGTTTATTTTCCAGATGATCTTTCATGTGTGCGTTTAAACTACCTCTATCAATGTAGCTTTTTCCACAGGCCATGCATGAGAACGGTCTCTCGCCTGTATGGGTTCCCATGTGACGAACCAAATGACTGGTGCATCTGAAAGACGTGCAGCAGACTTTACAGGAATGTGGCTTCTCACCAGTGTGGATTCTCATGTGAACCTTTAAAGTACTTTTCTTTGTGAAACAATTTCCACATATTTTGCAAGAATGCGTGTTTTTATTTCGCTTTTTCACTTTAGAACGGTCAACATCGTCACTCTGATTCATTGTCTGCTGTGGATTTCCATCCAGTACCTGGTGGCCATCATTGCATCTGTCCTGGTTTTCAGCTTCAGGGGAGTTTGAAGAGTGGATCTGGTTTAGGTTTGGGTCTGATTCACTTTGGTCTGTTTCCTCATAGAGAGGAGGTTTTCTGGAGGAATCCTGCTTCACTGCAAGCTGATCTTCATCCTGATTAATGTAGACTTCTTCCTGTTCTTTTTTAATCTGCACAGATTCATGTTCCTGCAGTTCCTCTTTAATTTGTTCAGATTCTGGTTCTTCTTTAATATCTGTCATCTGCTGCAGCTCTGGTTTAGTCTGGAATATTTTATCATAAGCAGTAGCCACCATAAAGGTGTTGGCCTCCAGTTTCACATCTTGACAGACATCAAACTCAACTTGTTCTCCTTTGATCGGCTGATATTCTGGCTCCTCTTTAATCTGCTGTAGATCTGGTTCCTTGAGTTCCTCTTTCATCTCTCTATTGTTTGGTAAGTTGTGATCATAAATGGAGTTACTTTCTGGTTTAATAAACTGATCACCACCAACCTCCCACATATTTACAGACATGATGCTTCAGGAGATCTAGAGGCAGAACAAATGAAACAATTTAATGTCAAAGACTTTGACAAAATGAACATAAGACTTGCTTCAGTTAAATTTTTTAACTAAATGAATAAGACAGTGGTTTCCAAACATTTTCTGCCCCCCCCCCACCCTCCATGGATT